TCAGGGGCCCCCCCCCCCCCGCCGGCCGTTTCCGACTTTCAGGATCCCCCAACACCGGGACAGCCAGGCGGATTTTAGTTCTGTTCATCATCGCCCCTTCAGAAGCAGCTGACAGTTTTAATAATAATAATAAAGTTGGAAGGGACCTTGGAGGTCATCTAGTCCAACCCCCTGCTCAGGCAGGAAACCCTACACCATTTCGGACAAGTGGCTGTCCAGTCTCTTCTTAAAAACTTCCAGGGTTGGAGCATTCACCGCTTCTGGAGGCAGGTTGTTCCACTGGTTAATTGTTCTCACTGTCAGGAAGTTTCTCCTTAGTTCTAGGTTGCTTCTCTCCTTGATGAGTTTCCATCCGTTGCTTCTTGTCCTGCCTTCAGGCGCTTTGGAGAATGGCTTGACTCCCTCTTCTTTGGGGCAGCCCCTGAGATATTGGAACACGGCTATCATGTCCCCCCCCCCCCCCCGCGTCCTTCTCTTCATTAAACTAGACATCCCCAATTCCAGCAGCCGTTCCTTATATGCTTTTTGCAGGCAAAAGGCCGGCGAAGCAAGGCTGTTGCTCCTGTTGAATCCTTCCCCATTCTGGTGAAAAGTGGGGCCGCCTTGTGCCCAGGGCTCCTGCTAGGCTTGGCAAGCTGCGTAATTTCTCCTGGCCTTGAAGGGGAAAACATTGCAGAGAGCTGCCGTGTTTCTAAGCTTCCTGGCAGGCTGATGGCGAACGATTTTGTGTTCCTCAGGCATCTCTACCTCAGGAAAGATGATGTCTCGGAAGGGAATTGCGCAGAGGAACTCCTGAAGAAGGCTGCCAAGACAGTTGAAGGATATTTCATAGCTCCACCAGGTAACATTTTGCAGGGCGCGTGGAGGGAAATCCATGTTGTGGAATTTTAAACGCTTTGTTCACAATGTGGAATGCAGAAGAGAACTCAGCATCTAATTTCATTATATAGGAGGCAGTAATGGTGGGTATATTGTATCTCTGTTAAGAAATACCATTCTGGATTTTTGGGACCTGCCTAAATTATTGAATTCAATATTACATGTTCTTAATTTCAGTTATTTTGCAGAGTATAATTTGGTCAGTAGTGTGTTTGAAGCAACACAAAGAACTGTGCGATGAACATCCTTGAAAGTTGACATTTTCCGTTTAAAATTTGTAAGGGGTTGCCCTTGAAGTTCATTTTTACAATTAAGAGCACAGTTGAAACTTGTTTCTTTGGAAACGAGTCCTTTTTCCTTCATCAAATAATATATTTGGTAGCTGAATGATATATCAGATAATATGACCATCAATTTTTATTTCTAATAGAAAATACCAAAACTGTCAAAAGTATTTTATTCCTGCCAATTTTTGTTTGTACTAGGTAACATCCCTCTGCCAAAGGTAGAAGAGAGAAATAGTTTCCTTCACAAGGAAGACTCTTAATAGAAGATTCGACTTGAAATGCCATCACCAACTGCTTTTAGACACATTGTGCATTGTTATCTAGATCAAATTTTTATATCGGGTACCTCATGTAATGGGGGGGGAGAGAGGAGGGAGGAACAGGAACTGAAATGAGTGGTGTTGCTTAGCCGAGACAAAAATACTAATTACAGAGCTGTATGGATTTGGAAAGAGTCTCTAAGTTTAACACAAACATGATGTGTGAACATGTCTAGAACTTCTTTTAAACCCCATACAAGAATTCTGATCACATTAAAATTTCGCACAAGTTTACTGGTACATTTTATGGTGTTTAAATATTTTAATCACTGAATCTCAATCACCAAATTCCCCAAAAGAAACACATAATTGTGAAGAGACCATGATCAAAAGTCATGAAATGCGGAAGTTCATAAGCCCAAACCTCTAAAAGTTTGGGGAACCGAATATAGAGGCAACACTGACCATAACTGCAGCAATTCCTCTATAAACTGAATTGCTGTGAGCAAATGATGATCAGCACTGCTCAGTCAGTCCAGGAGGAACATGAAAAGTATCCAGAACTGTTGTAGCTTAAAGTTTAAGTATAAAACTATTGAAACAGAGGTCTGCGTCAGCTACAGACAGCTAGTCCATAAGCTGGCAGACATTAATAAACAAAACATGTACTATCTTTGAACAAAAATCCTAGCACAAAAGAAGGACCATGTATTACTGAGGGTAGAACATTCTGCAAAAAGGAATTCAAAAATTTGCTTTATGAATTCAAATACAGTTGTTCAGTCATGAAACAAAATATTTTCCAAGAAAACTGAATAGAATGTAGTATGATTGCTTTTATACTTTGATT